TATAACTTATGGAATTAATTAAGGTTACATTATTTTTTTTATATTTATTTAATGAAGAGACTCTTGGTCCTCCATAACTTGAGGACAAATTATGGAGTCATAACTCCAATTAATTAGAACTAGACTCTTCATTTTTGTAACCTTTGCCAACTTTATGAGTTTTATGAGTCTTTAATGTGACTCTTCATGTAACTTGAGGACAAGTTACACAAACACATTTTATACTCAACTCTTAGATTAAAATGGATTGAAAACAACTATTTCAATTAACTTTTCTATTAATCTAAGCAACTCATAAGAACAAGATAATTCAAATCAAACTTTTTCATGTAATTAGTCTAACCTTTAAACTAATACAAAACATGAATCTATTGACAATTATCTTTGAAAATGGATTAGCATGAACATTACCACATTAAAAACAAGTTTATAAGTTCAAAAACAACTTAGGGTAATGTTCCTAGTCCATTTCTAGCCAAAAACTCGAAAATATGCTGTCTGGGGTCCAACTCGTCGAGTGCATGAACACAACTCGGCGAGTTGGATGCATTTTGCCTTGGACTCGTCGAGTCCCTTCATGGACTCGGCGAGTCTGCTGGGTGACAGCACAATTTCGATTTTTCAGCTTCTATTGCAGTATAACAAGAAAACAAGCCTAGGCTCTGATACCACTGTTGGGTTATGAGCATTCTAACACTCCTAAGTGTACATGCAACCCTAAATACCTTGGATCTATGTTTTCTCTATTATACATGCAAATATGAACATCCAAGGTATTATCCTAATCTAGCATACAAAACTATCAATATAACAAGATAGAATACATACCTCTTTGATGTAGAATGTCTTCATGAAGCTTGAGTGCCTAGTGCCCCAAGTGTGACACCTCAAATGGTTCACAATCATCAAAACACTTAGAATAACTTGAGAGAGTTCTACACTTCATGAAAATCGGCTAGCCCTTTCTTACTCTCACTAGTGGCCGATTTTTCCTCAAGAATAAGATGCTTATATAGTTGTACAATTAGGGTAAACCCTAATTGTCATGACTTTCCATTTCCTTGGATCCATGGGTTCAAATACACCATGGAGCATCCATGGAGCATCATATGAGTTTTGGCCCAACTAGATAATCCATGGAGCATTAGCCCACTATACAAGTATGGATGATTTACACAATCAACCCATATATTTAATTAGTCTTCTTTTGATCACTCAATTAATGCTAGATTAATTCTTGATCAATACTAATTAAATAATCTCATTATTCTTATTATTAATATACTAGAACTTATAACATATTAATAACCATAAGTGTCTTATTTCTCTCATTTAGTCTATCCAAGTGCATGATGGTATGCAACCCAAATGGACCATGCCGGGTCGGGTCAAATCTTACCAATTATAGTTATGGACTTAGACATTAATCCAACAGACCGATCACAAGGATGTCTTTTGTAAATGATTGAGGTTTTTCGTTTTGATAGAACTCTGGTATTTTGATTTTTTTTATGAGGTTATGGGTTCCCTAAGGGTGTGTATTGTGGTAAATTCATTATATATTATCGAGAGGAGTGTATATGGGTTGGTCAATATATCAATAGAGCGTTGGGTTCGAATTATATGCATGGTTCCTTTTAGGTTATAGACTTTGAATTAGATCAATAGTGCAACCGTTTATCCTATTCTCGGGTCATGTGTAACCATGCATTCATAAGGTTATGCATGGGTAGCAGCTTGTTATGTGAAAGGAACTGTGCATGGTAAGATTATGGCATTGTTGTGCTTGGTTAGTGTTAAGAAGGACGTTGCTTAGGTCCCTGCAAGGAGATGGAATGGAGTGGGTATCTTTAGGCCCCAAGGTGTTGGGCGAATGATGTAATGTTGACAATATCAGTGTATAATCGGGAGCATTCCAAAAATAGACTGAAGGTCTAGTATGGCATTCCAGACTCATGTTGTGGGCTCAGAGGCAATCCAAACCAATGAGGACCCTATAGGGGTAATCCAAACATAGGTTGTGGGCCCAGTGATCATGAGTGTTCATTTCTCCTACTTGTGGTACTTTCGGTACTAGTACATGGTTGGAAGTTGGGAGACTCACGAACCAACTGGTTTGTATGAAATGAGTACTTAAGGGTTGTTGGGAGTATTATTCGTGCATCATAAAGTCTCTTGCGGAGTGTTTGCATTATAAATCTCCTTTGTTCATGCGTTGTTATTAGGGGTTTGGTTACCAAGGTTAGGTATCAGTTATGGAGAGAAATAAATTATTGTGTTTGGACATTTTCAAGTTATTGGGTTGCTTGTTGGTAGTTTGATATCCTGCTATTCACTGATATGTTGAGAATGGAATAGATATGCATGATGACGCTAGTTGTCGACATGTTAGTCTAGTAGATCTGTAGGACTACTTGTGATTTGGTCTGCATGATTATCTTTATATGTTTGCTATCTGTTATATGTAGACATATTATGTTGGGTTGAGGTTGTATTGCTTTGTGTTGTAGCCAACAAACCCTGAAGCATTCCATATATGAGCTGAGGGTCGGGTAGGGCATGTTAGACTCATACTAAGGGCTCAGGAGCATTCCAGATATGAGCTGAGGACTGGTTGGTATGTCGGACTCGTACTGAGGGCTGAATATTGATATCCTAGTATGATGACTGATTAGGTTAGGGAGCAAGCCAAACAAAAGTTGTGGGCCCCGAGGGCAAGCCGGACTTATGTTGTGGGCTCAAGAGTAGGCCATATATGAGTTGTGGACCTCATAGGCAAGCCAAAATCATATTGTGGGCTTAAAGGTAATGCAGTCTTTTAGTTGTGGACCAAATACATGTTGTTATTTGTATATGTTATCTGTTTGTGTTGGTACTTTGGGGGAACTCACTAAGCTTTGTGCTTACAGTTTTAGTCTATGGTTTCAAGTACTTCAGAGGACCTTGGCAAGGCGAAGGCGTGACCGTACACATCCTGATTTTATGTTGTTCATCTTGGTAAACTCTGATTTTAAATAATTTTTTGGAAGCAATAGTTTTGTAAACACTTTTATTAGTTAATGAATTGTTTTGAAAAGTTTAAAATTTGTTGTAATTTTTTGGGGATGTTATAAGTTGGTATTAGAGCCTTGGTTTGAGTGAATTGTAGGAACACTCTTGTGAATCCAGTCTCAAACTAAGGAAAATGGTTTTTTAAATGATTTCCAAAGTAAGGGTTTTAAAAATAATTTTCAAGTTGCTTTCAAAATAACCAAAAAATGATGCAGTGTGTACGATTAATCGGAGCCAGTAAGTAGACCCCATATTACCACACTGTTACTTGATATTGTGGTATGTTAGAACAACATGCTAGTGATAGGCTAGGGATCTTCAGGAATTGCATAATAGAATTTCCTAATTATATGATGCCTGATAGCCTAGGGTCTTCCTTATATGAAATTGACATCATTACTATAGTTGCTTAATGTATGCATCATAGCTGTACATAACTAAGATTTTATAGCCCGAAAATGTTTGGTTTAGCCTTATTTCATGTTCTTGTTTGATGAAGGGCTTAGGGTAGAATCAAGTATTCGACTTTCTATAGGATCCAATGTTATGTATGATTAGTACACTCGTGTGTTGCAGGGTCGGTGGAAGTTTCATGAGTAGGTGCAGTGTATGGCGGGTCAGCGAGAGTATTATTAGCCACTCTTGAGTGAGTGAGGTCGAGGTGAACTTGTATCCGGGAAACTAACAATATTCACGAATAAGGTTAAATTTCTAAGATCAAATTAAAATAATTAAGAGTTTTCGAATACTTTATTTATAACTTACAACAATGATATTTTAAAATTAATATTATATATAAAAATATATATTGTTATCTTTAGAAATAAAAACAATATTTGATGTTTTGAATAATTATAATGATGGAAATTAAAATCGTAATCAAATAAATTTTTTAATATTAATTAATCATAACAACTATAAATATCATTAAACCATATATTATATTTAATATTATAAATAGAGGTCATTGAAACTACTGTGATTATAAAATTTTAAAAAATATCTACATTATAATATAATCCAAAACAAAAAATATTTATACCAACTTATTAAAAGATTTTTTTTATACATAAGAGTTAATAACAACGTCATTAATATATTTTAAAACCATATATTCTGCGCGACGTGCGGATATTCGTCTAGTCTTTTATAATAATTGTTTTGAAGACTGCAAACACCATTTATGTAATTTTGTCTACATATTGTTCATATGTTTATATTCGTGACTACTTCGGAAATTTAACTCAAAAATCGTGGACAACCACCAATGTTTTGTTTAATTTTGTAATTGCTTGTGTTGTGCACATCCTCGACAACAACCCTTATCAAATTTTTTTCAAAAGTGGACCCTATCTCTCCCGAAGGACGTTTTTCCTTAACACTAATTGCACACCATTTAAATCTCATCTATTCGACCTAATAAATTTGGGGTATGAGTTTATTCGGCAAATGACCAAAATTTAAGGTTACTTTGAAAAAAATAACCACCGAAATAAGGAATTTGGAAAATGATCATAGATTCCGCAGAGAGAGTTCTGCAAAACCATAAACGCCTTTGAGGAACCATGAACACCTCTGCGGATCGAGGTTTTTTCTAATTTTTTTTTTTTTTTTTGTTTTTTTTTTGTTTATTAATATTATTATTACTTTTTAATCACATAAGGTATTATGTGATTAATATGTAAAAAAAATTGTTTTCATTTTTCCTTTTTCTTATTTAATTACCCATTTAAAAAAGTTGTGTGTTTAATAAAAATTATACAAATATTTCATGTTTTTTTATAAAATTATACACACCAGTATTCTGAATAATAACATACTTTAAGTAGGTTGCAAAACATACTTTAGAAAGCATAAACACACAACATTCATCATAAAAATACTTTGAAATAAACTTCATTCATTCAAATCGAACCACAAAAACTTTGATCTGTTTTCGTATTTCGGCCATGGGTTTTCTGTTGTTTGTGTCCCTAGGTTTACTATCGCTTGCGTCCATTGGTAGTTATCTGGCTCTTACTGGCATTGGTACTCGGTGCAACCCTGTCATTGGTTATGTGGCTTTTCATATGATTGGTATTCGGTCCTTTGTGTCAATTGGTTATGTAGCTCATGTTGCCATTGATGTTCGGTATGTTGTGTCCATTGGTTATCTAACTGTTGTTGCGATTGATGTTCGGTCTGTTGTGTCCATTGGTTGTCTGGCTGCTGTTGTCATTTTTGTTCGGTATGTTGCGTCCATTGGTTCTTTGGCTTATGTTGACATTGGTTTTCGGTCGCTTGTGTCAGTTCATCTTCTATCGCTTTTGTCCCACTTCTTGATGCCGCTATACGTTTTTTACTTTTACTTTGGTTCTTTGGAACAATTTCCTTACACGTCCTTGCATTTATGTAGTTTTTCAAGAAACCATGTCCAAGAATCTGTAGTCTCTTTTGAGTAAATTCCATACCCAATAGGCAAGATCTGATTGTTGACATCCATGGCTATTGCATGCAAGATGGTGTCTTTGTACTTTCCCTTCAAATGAGCATCATCCATAATAATAACTTTTCTACAACACTCTCTGAAAGCACGTATCCGCAACAACAATAGAAAAACCATTAATATATCAACAATATAATTTGTTTATAAACATTTAAGAAAATAACAAATATATTTAAAAATATATTACCGCGCATCCAATAGCGAAAAAGCAGTACTCAAAACGATCCTCCGAATCAGTTTTTATGTACGCCACAGTACCAGAATTATGTTTCTTCAGATTGTGAAAATAAACTGGAAGTTTGGAGAAACTTTCTTCGGTGGTCCTCATCATCAATCCCAGAGCAAATTCTCTAGAATGTCACGCTTGTGAATAACTCATATTCATTTGTAGCAAAGCATTCATATCTCTAATTATATCATTAAGCTTCCAAACTCTCAAACTTCCTTGACCCATAATGTCATGTATTATGGTTCCCACAACTTTGCTATTTGCTTGCCTATGATTGGGTGTATAAGCAATGAAGAACATGTATGCTCGTCATTAAACATCTTAATTTCAAACATTTATGTTCCTTTAATGAGAGATGTGTATAAACGCCAATGACAGTTTTCTTGCATACAAACAACCTGGTACCGAGATTTTGAAGATTTTTCAACCTTATCTGAAACTTTTCTCTAATGGCTTTGAATTTAACAGAAAATGGTAGCACTTTTTTGGTGTTATAGGTTTGATTGACAATTAATTTATCATTCAGACCTAAATTGTAATATGGTCCAGGTTCAAGAATAGGTTCTGGAAAATCAGGAATAGAGTGAATACAATATCATGGATTAAAAGCAGTTTTTCGTTGTGTGTACTCATCATTCGACCACCCTTCATTTGATTTTTCCTCACATCTTCGATCATTAATTTTAGAAACTACTCCAAACTCAAACAAATTTTGATGTTGTAATTCAGTTATGCCCAATTTTGCTTCTTTATCATTATATGTACACTGATCCGCAGAAAAACGGTTATTACGTGGCGAAGTCACTAACTGATGTGTCAAAAACTCCTTACCTGGACTTCTGCAGATCAAAGTTTATGTGGTTCGATTTGAATGAATGAAGTTTATTTCAATGTATGTTTATTACGAAGGTTGTAACAGATTAAAGTTTCCATGTTTCGATTTGAATGAATGAAGTTTATTTCAATGTATGTTTATTACGAAGGTTGTATGTTTATGTTTTCTAAAATATGTTTTGTAACCTACTTAAATTATGTTTATTATTTAGAATACCAGTGTGTGTAGTTTTATAAAAAAAAATGGAATATTTGTATAATTTTTATTAAACACACAACTTTTTTAAACAGATAAATAAATAAGAAAAAGGAAAAGGCAAAAACAAATTTGTTTTTACATAATAATCACATAATACCTTATGTGATTAAAAAAATATTATTATTAATAAACAAAAACAAAAATAAAAAAATTGAAAAATGAAAAATAAAATTAAAAAAACCAAGATCCGCAGAGGTGTTCATGGTTCCTCAGAGACGTTTACGGTTCCGCAGAACCCTCTCTACAGAACCTGTGGTCATTTTCCGAATTCCTTATTTCCGTGGTTATTTTTTTCAAAATAACCTTAAATTTTGGCCATTTGAATAAACTATTTGGGTATTTACATCTTCCAGAAGTTTAAAGTAAATTCCTCATTAACAATGGACTCATTATAAAGATCAAGACAGTTTATTTTTTAGAGATGGAAAAATAACTTTATCATATATAGGTTGAGTAACATGCTAAGATCTATAATAACGTTTATATTGTTTTAAAAGTTGAGTCGAAATAATTGAAGTCCAAAATATTATGTATTAAATCTTAGAAAAAAAGACATTAATTTTAATAATTATTAAATCTTATATATTTAGTAAAAGAATTGCCAAATAATTTTTTAGTATATTGAAATTCACCACTGATTTTTCACGTGATAGACAATCTCTGATTAGTAATCAATATTTAATTAAGATGTTAATACCAATATGTTTAATTCATTAAATAATTTAAATTCAAAAAGTTTTTAGTTGACCAATATTTGCTTTTTAAAAAACTTATAAATTATGTAAAATATTCTTATGGTTTATAAAAGGGTTATCATTTTTCTTTTCTGAAGCTTGCTTTTCAGAAAATATGTTAAAACTGTAAAGCAACCAATTTTATGTTTTAAAAAGTAATTTACTCTATATATTTTCATTTCACGTTAGTTACGGACTAAAATCGTAATAAACCCAATACTTAATGACCAAATTGTTAGAAAAATATAAGAGAAACGGCACACAGACCATTTCTAGTTTTCTACAATTATACCGTTGTTAATGGTTCTATATATCTTTGACTCTTGAGTAATTTATTTATATTTATTATTTAGTAGACAGTGACAAATGTTAAACATAAAGCATCATCGTTTTTACAACTTTATAATATTTTATATTGTTTATTAACATTGAATAATAAAGTCAAAGTTTCTATATCATCAATTCATCATAAAAACATGGACCCATTCGTCGATGCATAATCCAAAAAAGAGAATGAAGCTGGAACCTCTTAGGTCTTTTTCATCTCCAACCTCTATTCTCATTAGAAAACCTCCAATATCACCATATCTTTTATTCACTTTCTTAGCCTTCATCATCTTTGCCATCTTCCTCTACGGTGAAGACCTCCGTTGTATCATCGGACAACACCACCACCTTCATCTCGACCATATCAACCCCAACCCACTACCGCTTTCTGCTGCTACTGGTACGTTATCTTTCCTTTTCGAACTCACCGGAAAACAAAAACTGCGATTTGAAACTGAAACTTTTCCGGCGATATATAATTAGAGAAGCATCAGATTCATGACACGAAGCTGCCGTTTTCAGTCGGGGAAGAGGAGAAGGAGTGCGATGTATTTAGCGGCAGGTGGGTGTGGGATCCGGTGAACCATCCGTTGTATAAAGAATCGGAGTGTCCGTACATACAGCCGCAGCTTACATGCCAGGAGCATGGCCGGCCGGACCGGGATTACCAGTTTTGGAGATGGCAACCTCATGCTTGTTCTCTCCCGAGGTAAATTTTTTTATCTTTTCAATGAAAATTGTTATTTAATTTTATCATTGATTATTTAAATCTTATGTATTATATGAGTTTATTTAAAAATAAATTTAAATATGAAATTTTAACAATTTGAAAAGTTTGAATTAATAAAAAAAGAGAAAATTTTTGAATTATTAAAATTAATGAGGTTTTAATGTATTGCATTACATATATAATTTTTTCTAATAAATACCTTACATATATATTAAATGTAGAATTTTAATTTAATAAAATGAAAATTACAATAAAATAACAAATAGAAAATTTAAAATTTAAAAATTCTAAAAAATATCATGTATCCAAATGAATGAGAAGATAACATGTACCAAAAAGTTCTTTATTTATTAGGTAGAATGTTTTTTTTACAATGTACTTAGAATATTAAAATCAATAAAATTACATATTTAAATTATCAATTACATGTTTATTATATATGTTAATAACTTAATACTAATGCATTTACATGTAATTTACTTCAAAGTAAAAAATTAACCGAAAATAATTTTATTCTTTATGATTATTACAAAAAATAGGATGTATTTACAAATAAAAATAGTTTTAGAGGGTGTTTGGATAAATAGTTTTTAGCTTATTAGTTTATTGTTTATTTGTTTACTGCTGTGGGAATAAATATTTTTTTTAAATGTATTTGGATTAGCTTATTGCGGTGGGAATAAGCAATAAGCAATAAAAATTTATGTGTTTGGCAAACAAAACAACTTATATGACTAAAATAACCAATAAATAATAAGCATTCCCCCTTGCTTATTAAAATCAGTTTATTTGGCTTATTTCTGCCGCTAATATGAATTTTAAAAACTCATATTCAAACACTTAAATTTATTTATTAACGTGGGATTATGCAATAAACAATAAGAAGTCCTTTTAACATAAGTGATTCAAATATATATATAAAAGATTTCTTTTTATATACTTCGTACTGATCGATAAATCTTATAATAGCTAGGTCCCCACACATTTATATAGTAAATTTTGATGGAAGCTACTTTTGCAGCAATAACGTATTGATCTAGTTGTTACCGCGTTCAATTAATTTGTTTTTACCGATAAGCTGCAATTGTAACATAAGGGTTACAAAAAAAGGGTTTTGAAACCAAAATATGATCAACATAATTCTTAATTCTTAATGTTTGATCGAGGAACATGTATGTAAATATTTAAATTTTAATAATTTAGTTAGAGTTAGATCATGGTTCCACCAACTCATTTAAATATAATTAAATAAACAATATTTAATTTAAAAAATTTAGTTAGAGTTAGATCATGGGTTCCACCAACTCATGCAGATTTGACTTCCTGTTTATGGATTGTTAATTGTTTTGCAATCAATTAAATTTGTGAGACAAGGACAAGTTTATCGTAGGTACTTATTTTTTTTTTCAAAAAATAAACCTAAAAATAAAAAACGATCCATCGCATATGAACTTTCACGGTTTGAGATTTTATTATTTGGACCGCAATTTTGAGATTAGATATGTGATTTTATCAAAAGCATAAAACGATAAGAAAATTTGAACTTTGCCACTTTTTCCATCCTATTTGCATCTCCAATACCACACCATTTAAGTATATACATTATTTTTGTGTCAAAATGCTGCAATTCAACTTCATTTTTAACATTAAAAAAATTAAGAATTGACATGATTGCTTCAAAATTGATTATTTATATTCAATGTGGATGTCAAATCAGGCATTTATGTCATATTTTAGTTTTTATTACACATCATAATTTAGGTCAACTTAGAGAGTCGTGTTGTATTTTTAGTTTTCATTACACAACATGACAATTATTATATATCATGACACGGCACAATGT